ATCGATCGGTGTGTACAAGGCCTTTGACACCAGCGGCATAGCAGCTCTTGCGAGTGATCCTGTAAGTAGTGCGTTCAGGCTCTTGAAATCCCGAAACTTGAAACCTCTTTCTTTGCTCAGAAACCAAGGGCATATCTGGATCTCCGATAAACTTCCAATGGGGTTGTTCACAATCTGCCCTGGATTTGTGGTAATCATAATGGTTGGAGGAAGAAGATCGAAGCAATCTGCCCATTTACTCGTTATATCGTCTCCATACACAACATCTAGCACTATTAAAGAGACAACAGATCAGCTTCTAATGGGATATAACAGGGTGCGGTGCGAACAATACCTGAGTTATCTAGCGGGTATCACGTTAACGTAGGCAGTTGAGATGGGAAACTCTTGATTCACTCACAATATTGCGAAGTGCCATCGGCGGCGGTCCTTTTCTTGATTCTGTCCGTTGTACAGTAGAATATTACGTCTGAATTGGCCGCCCCAACATCGGCGTTGTAGCCAGATATCGCTGCCAACGCTGCGAAGCCGGCTGTAAAGATTTGTCAGAAATTGCTGTTGTTCCACGTCCGTGTACACGAACTCTGCATTGATTGTTCCTGAGCAGAAACATCGGCGATATTGCGCCCGAATAGTTGTTTGAATACATCGTCAATTTGGGGGTTTACGGGACTCTCTGTGAGCGCAGAGACACCCGCTGCCGCAGCAGTAAAGGCGTTGTCAATCGCCGACCGCACGAAATCGGTGTCCGCTATAATAAGGTCAGTAGATATAGTGAGAGCTTGGTGTTTGAGAGAATTGGCTGACATCCACAACCGGCATCGATTTGGTAGCTGAAGCTGGCGATGGGTAGGGTTGCTAGCGACAGTAACCATTTGATACTCTTGCTCGGCATCGTAAGCGAATGAAAGAACTTGGCTGAGTTGTTTAGGATTGAAGGAGGAACAATTCAAGATGCAGATAGCTGCTAAAAGCTACACAGGAAGGGTGGGTTGGTCTTGTGTGGGAGGCAAATGTTACTTTGAGATTGCAATCCGATGTTGATTCGTAGGTGTTCAAGCGTGATAAATTCTCAACATACTCAAAGCTGCATTCGGAAAGACCTACGTGAGACAAAATCTAGTATGGCAACAGGGAGTGGAACGATCACGGATTATGCCACATCCCGTCACCCAACGGTGGAACTCCAACATGAACAGGCACTAATTCTTACCCGTTTATTGTTTCCATCGTGGGCCTCGTTATTTCCGAGATTCATGCGTCTATTAGAGCCTGATTTGACCAAAGTAAGCCTCGTATAATCAAGTCCTTAATTTCGATTGTGTAGAAACTACCGTATAAATTGGCTAGCTTGGGTAAGCGGTAGTAGCGCCGACCCATGCGCGTAAGCAGTCGCTAGAGAAAATCTTACCATGTAATGCTGCGCATGAGGCTAACGGGAAAACCTAATTTCCATTTGCAAAAGTCTCCACAATGCGAGTCAGGAGTGATAGCTTACAGCAACGTGACATGCCCAAGCGCTCGAGCGTTAGACCAGATGGCATTTGGTGCGAATAGGTCGAATGGGGTCCTGGGAACATTCTGCTTAATAGCCTTCTCGATTTTCGAAATCCGCTTGCCTTTAAAACATTTCAAGTTGTCGAGATCTCATAAAACTGTTCCAAGTCCATTTCTTCAATTGAACTTGTTGTCGATTCTTATACTCGCTTTGTTCTATCGACCATAATCGATCCGCAATGCGAGCACGCAGTCTTTTCCTATCTGCCTTTGGATGCCACCTCTCCCGGACAGCGGCTCACAATGTCCATCACCAGCATAAAGTAAGAGCCGTTGATCCCACGAGCGCGGGTCAAATAGGTGTCAATCCTGTTACAGATGAGCCAGCTGGATATTAGTAGGTGTACAAAAGTGAGCAGATATGGTGATACTACTGACTTTGTTCGAAGTGAGAGCATTGAGGGTGTTGCTACAAAGTACTATGAGATAGATTCGTCAACGACAAAGGTTGGTTGTCCGCACTAGAGTTCTTTCTGCAATACCTAATATCTTCTATAGTGGATTGGTGTCAACACCGAATACCTCACTGATATCGTTGAAACCACCACTGTCAACAATGTCCAAACCACCAAAACGACTTCAGTCGCTCTCATCGCGGCCACAGCTACTGCTGCTTCCAATGGACTGGAGGATGGCGCAGTCACCATTGTCATGTCTCCAGCGCTTACCAACATTCTCGACCAGCTCGCAGCCGACGCAGCGACTATATGCCTCGAGACTCGGAAGCGGCAAACATGCGATGTCAGACAAGAATTCGCGAACCTTGTCAATACCAACCTCCAAACCGGAGGCAGCCTCCATGAGTTCGACTTCGACTTCCTTGTACCCACCATCGCTGCTGAAGACGTTGCGGCAATCGTCAGTGGTGTGACGAATGCCCTCCCAATTCTGGGCGTCTTCGTCATGTCGTACCTTATCTTCGCCGAAAGTGGGGCGGCGAAGATTCCTCCCGTGATGAATATTCCGCCATCACTGACTGTGGCGCCAACAGCTACAGCCACTGCGTCCGGCTGTGCCTATCCAACTGCAACTGGAGAAAATCGCGTATGTTTCGTCTTCAGCCATCAATGGCCTCGCAAACTCACATAACTGCAGATCATTTGCCCAGATACCGATTGTAATGGTCCGAATGATGATGGCTCGCTCACAGACTCGGCGAGACTCTGTACATCGGTATGAAATCATCTCAAAACATAATCAGCAATGCTAACGGAAATTCAAAGGGATCATATAAGGGTTGTGAGTGTGTTCGCACTCTCGAAGCCACTGGAGACGACGGGGATGAATCATGGATGGACGAGCAGCAGACGTTACTTCAGGACTGGGTTGATGGTGATTTCTCGTCAAACATTCCCACCTGTAATAACATCACAAGCAACGGTGCCTGGGATAACAGCAACATAGTTGTCAGCGACGGTGCCACGTTTTGTAGCGGCAATAGCGGCACTGATGTATCAAAAGTGTCAACACAAAGCTATCAAGACACCTGGACGTACTTTGACGGAACCTTGGCTTCCTTTACTATCAGCGCGGCTCTGGGGTCAGGTTGTGGTACTACGACCGTCAGTCAGTCAGACTGCACCGCCGCGATCCAATCTGTGATGGACGATTGTAAGGTGCCTTTTCTAATCAACTTCAGATGTTGTATTGACGTGTATAGGCCCTACCGGTACCACAAGTAAAACACAGAAGTATGGGGGCAGCATACAGGTAAACTGTCAAGTCTATAAAGTGACACCGATCAAGTACACACCATGCATAAGTACATGCTAAAATACACTGAAAGGCCTGGGCATGCGGAGGTGCAGCGTTGATTCTATGGAATTTCGTAGTGTATATATGTGTGAACACTTTTGTTTCACTGACTAAGCTTGGTGGAAGTTGTTCGACTGCTTTACGGGAAATGGAAGTTCCGAGTCCTTCGTCTTCAAGTCCCAATGCACTATGACATCGAAATTGTCTACTCCCTGGCAAGCAGCCATTGGTCTGAATATCGCCTGCTCAATATCGGTATGCTGAACAGGGAAGGGCAAAAGATTGACCCGCAAATCCTTCAATCCTCGCATATCAGCGATCGCAGCCCATGTGGCCTCCCAGGTCGCATCATCGTCTGGCGGGAATTTACGCGGATAATTAATGTAGAGAAAGTTGACCGGAAATTGAACACGTAGCGATCGAATAGTGTGGTATAGACGAGGAGCAACAAAGGATTGTAAGAATAGGATGCATGCTTTCTGCGTAGCGACAAAGGTGTTATGCGAATACACATAGTCGATTGACTCGGCATAACTGCATTAGTTAGATAGTGCAGAGGAATTACGGGATAATTACATACGCTTGATGACACGTTTTAGGTAGACTGAGAAGTGTTGTAGCAGTACTGCATCGGACGGCAAAGGTCGGCCGCGCAGCGTCGTCAATCCATTCCAGCTCCAGTTCCTCGCCACCTAAAGCAAACCCATAAATAGCCTGCCTCAACTCGATAGGGAGCAGGGTAAAGAAGTTCGAATTCGCCTGTTTCGACACTGATGGTACTGTGTCAAGATCGGATTCCAGAAAAGGCCGGGGGGATGCGCGCTTTCCAGTGCTCTAGTCGGTTGACTTCATTGCGCTTCCGTGCGTCAGTTTTCGCTTTGTTCTTTTCGCCCACAGCCTTGTCGAGATAACTGCCTAGTAGATCAGCAGCCTTGTTACGTAGGTTTTGCATTGTAAAGTAGAGAATAGTAGAGAGGGAAACATGTCAGATCTGCGGGGACATTGTAGCATAAAAGCCTGGAGACTCTAGGGCGAGCACGCTAGCGTAAGGCGCTAGGTCTACTGTGTACGAAGGAGCTGGATGTTAGTGAGTATTCAGCCCCCACCCAATTACGCACGGGCCTGAACGCGCACTAAAGATCAGCTTCGTTCAAGCGGGGGGAAAGCAGTGCCTTCTCACTAGGAGGTGGACAGAGTGACGCAGGCAGCAGTCTTGTTTCACGTAATCTCGGCTGGGAAGGACCATCTACCTACGCCGCCTGTTCTCCAATTTGACTTAGAACAACTTGCCAAAGACGTCTTACGTTCAATATACCAGGCTCTGTAAAAGCTCCATGTAGACCGTATAAAGAGTATACTTAACGCCAAGAAATGACCATCATAATCACTGCTCAATATGATATCGAATATATCATTTCGCGGTCAGACTTCATGCTAGTCACTACATGTACAACCAACCATAGGCTCAACGTGGCCACCATTCGTCCGGCCTTATCTCGGAGACACAACGTTGGGCTAGCACTCTAGCACTGCTCTAGCACAGTTCCGGTCAATGCCGGAAACCTGCATGTAGATAGATGCCCAACAGGATCTCTCGAGCAAGCAACAAGCTTTTACACACATTGACCGACAGTTTTTGTTAACGATATATTATTTGCGTTTTCAAAATCATCTATCAAGCATCATACGGTGAGATGGCCGAGTTGGTTATGGCGCCAGGTTAAGGTTCATCTTAACAACTATATTCCTGGTCACGAAAGTGGCGTGGGTTCGAGTCCCACTCTCATCAGCATTCGTCTGGCATCTGCCAGGCACCCCAGGATCTTTTTTTTGGTGTTTTGTTGGCCATGTGTGGTGGTTGTGTGGGGCGGACAGAATCTCAAGCGAGTTGGGACGGTCACGTGCGGAATTGTGGAGTGCGGCCGCAACACCAACCAATCTATCGCTTGATTCAAGAGGTTTGAGTACACGGTGGTGTTCCTCTTGATGCATTTTTTTGTAAAGCAATAGAGCAGAACAATGTAAAGTAAAGGTACAGTAACAACGGTGTGGTACGGTAACGAATAGTGAACACTAACACATTCAACACATCACAGCAGATACGAAGTTAACAGTAGACATCGTCAAATCTCTTCATTGATGACTCGCTATTATGCAAGTATTTAAACGCCAGTGATGCAATACATATGATACAGCTATCGTCATGTCACAGCAACCCCCCTCATTTCGTGACCTATTTCTTCGAATCATCCTTTGCCTTCTTCGCGAGCTGCTCAGCCTCATCGCCCTTCTTCTTGAGTACCTCGGAGATCTCGGCAACAGCATCTTTCAACAGCTTCTGCGCCTCATCGCCGTGCTTCTGCGCAACTTCTTGGAGCTGGCTCAGCTTTGGCAAAATCTGATCGCCACCGGGGATCTTCTTGAAATATTGCTCATAGTCGCCGAGGCCAGACTGCTTGGCCTTGTCGGCGGCGCTTTTGACGTACTTCTCAAGATCGCCGGTATCACCATTCTCGACAGCAGACTTGACGCGCTCGAAGAGCTGAGTAACGTTGCCGCTCTTCAACGCATCAGCGTTCTCCTCAACGAGCTTCTTGACCTCGGGGTTCTTGTCCAGGTAGGGCTTGGCCTGCTCCATACCTTGCTTCCAGGCCTCGTCACCCAGCTTCTTGAGCTTTTCGACCTTCTCCTGTACAACATCCTGGATCTTCTTGATGTTTGCCGCGCTGAGACCAGTCTTGACGATGTCGCTGATCTGCTTCCATGTGCGGTCGACCTCCTCCTTTGCCTCGGGGCCATACTTGTCACCGTACTCCTTCAGCTTGTCGACGTTGCCACCAAGTTTCTCCTTCAGGGCGGGGTGGTTATCCATGATCTGCTGCGAGGCGTCGCCGGCGAGATCTGCAATGCGGGCCAGGTGGGTGGTGATGACGTCCCAGGTCTTGTGTGCGGTGACGAGGCTCACGTCGCCTTTACCGAGCACCTGGCGCATCTCGTCGTATGCTTCGCGGACAATCTTGTCAACCTCATCGCCATGCTTCTCGCGGATAGCATCGAGGTCGTCGAAAGCCGAGTCAACGTATGTCTTCGCACCAGGGATGAAAGCAGCGTAGCTCTGGGCCGCATTGCGCAGCCATTGCAACGCCTCGTTGGGTTCGGGTGTTTGCTCTTTGATCTTCTGGGTGGCCGAGTTGACGTATTCTTTGGTGGTCTTGGTGGCTTTGACCACATCGGCAGCTCCTGACTGCCTGTAGAAGATGTAGCCAACTACAAGAGCGGCAGTGGCTCCAGAAACAGCACCAATGGCAGCATGTGATCCTGCACCTGCGTTGCCAGTTGCACCTGCATTGCCGGAGGGTGCGGTAGATTGGAAACGAGGTTGTTGTGCGCGGAATCGGGGGTTTGCAATTCGCGCAGCTGGGCGGCCTGCAGCACGAGCTGCGAAGCGTGCATTTTGGGTAGCTTGTCTCGAGAACATAATGACCGGAATGTGCGTGCTATGTATTCAATTGGGGGAATAGAGTGAGTTTTCGATGGAAGAGATGGAATTGATTCGCTTTTGAAGACGCAATGTGTGATGGAGCAGAATGGAGCTGGACTGCGAAGGTTTAAAACAGCAGCTAGCTGCAAGCCAACAGCTCGGAGCTGTGTCGCGAGAATGACGTCGGCATGATGATTTGCGCGTGCTAAGCCGCGTTGAGTTGGATGAACTGCAAGGAACTCACTTTACACTCACGTCATTCGTCTCCACGCGCCCTAAAAATTAAGCTTAACTCCCCGCCTTCGAATTTCATCTAGATCGCGTAACAGCAAGCAGGTTTCAGATTCCCATGCGAAATATGGATGGCATCGGTTAAATGAGCCGACCGTGCATCGATTCAATACCTCGGCAAACATAACGCACAGCTTACGATTTTCATCCGATCTTCCTTAGGATGAAGCAATTGAGCACAGTCACAGCTATTTCGGAATGTATATGTGTGTTTTCACACCGTCGTATGTTTTACATATTGGAGACATATGACGATACTTAGATGTCTCTGTGACCCGTGCTACTCTACGTCGTGAAGACGCTCCGCTGACGTTGAAAGTCAATCTACTTCCTCGCAACAGCAACAAGCGCAACCATCTCCACCCCAACCAACTCCTCCATCTCCTCCTCATTCCCCACCACAGGCCTCTGCACTTTCACAACTGCCTTCTCCGCCGCCTTCCTGAGCTCCTTTGCAAACTGCGCCGTCTCCTCCTCGCTCCAGCCCTGCACAAGCTGCCCAAACAACTTGACCAAGAAGCCAGACATTACCCCCACACTCTTCGCCGCATAATACACCGTCTTCTCATGAATCTGCACATTTCCAAATCCCGCTTCTGCCAACGTCTTCTCCAGATGCGCAGTTGAGTACCAGTCGTCAGAAATCGGGATGCGGAACAGCGCGTCATCGGGTCTGACGGCCTTCTGCGCTTGGTGGATGAGCGGAATATAACCTAGAGATTTCCAGGACGTGATAATTGCAGTCCCCTTAGGCTGAAGCGTACGATATATCTCACGCGCACCCTTCTGGCCGTCCTTGAAGAACAGGATACCCTGATTCGTGATCGAATGCGTAAACTCGTCGTCAGGGAAGGTGAGATTCTCGCCTGGCACGACGTCGAAAGAGAGTGTTGCAAACGAGTTACCGTTACGAGCTTGGACGGCGTGACGCGCGAGGTCTACCATTGCTGAGGCGCCGTCTACGCAGGTGATGCTGAGCGGTACATTGGGGTTTTTAATCAAGATTTCTTGGGCGATGATGCCGTTTCCGCACGCGTTGTCGAGGACTTTGGAGTCTGCTGTGAACGGGGGAGCTATGGAGATGAGATATCGGCCAAGCTCGCGAGTGCAGCCGCCGGTTGATGCCTCATAGGTCGTGGAGAGGGTATCGAAGTACTCGAGCGCGGCTTTTGGTTGGTCACTCATTGTCAAAGATTGCAAGATGAATTGTGTTTGTTCTTGTGTAAGAGCACTTGGGATACTTAAGTAGTAAAGAAGAGCGGGGCTTTGGGGCTGACCTGGGGTCAGCTACCTTACTCATGATAGAAGCTCAGCTCGTTAGTGCTTATTTTCGCAGCTACTTCCATTGTAAGATCTTGTCAGCACTGAATTCGGCAAGCCATGGGCTGAGCTAATTCCAGAAAGGATGCGGGCTTGGCAACAAACGTCTTGTACTGCATTCCATCGCGACATGGAGCTAGATATGACATGTTAAGCCCATTCTTCTACGACCCATACGACCATGTTGAAAATAGATCCATGGTAGGCATACCAAAGTGTTCCAATTCCGCCAGTATGTTCGTACCAACGCAGCTCCTTCTCGAAACACTGAGCTCAAATGACAGAATAGTCTACTCAGCCCCACGATGCTACTCCATGTATCTCCTACGCACTAATTTGCCCAACTCGTGTCTGTCCTTCTACTACGCGTTGTTGGACCTGAACCTGAACACGGACTCCTCAAGTATAACGCAACGGCACACGTTCAGCTCATTGCGCATATAGTCCGCCCATCCAATTCCCGTGGCATCTAGAAGATCCACAGCTGCTTTTCCACGAATTGGAGGAACACGTGACAAATTCGGAGTCCAAACGAGCCTGGCGTTGTTCCAAGGTGGATTGAAATAGCGTACTCGCGAGGTCGAATAGAATGATCGCGGTGCGGTATTCACGGTGAAAGGATGATAGTCGAAACCATTCCTCAGCGGCTCCGGATGCCACTTGGCAGCAGCCGGGGCGAACTCGAACTCGATCACAACCTTGGAGCCCTTTTTCTCAAAACTCTGCATAACGTTTTTGAGCTGAGCACAAATTGTGGGTAGTCGACGAGCATCGGGACAATGATTTTTCCAAACTGGGATTGAAACTCGAATCAAGAGTTTGAAGCCCTTGATGAGATCCAAGGCTAGAAGTGGAGCGAACTGCGCCTTGATAGAGTAGAGCCGTTGACGAAGCAAGAAGTCAACACGGTCGAAATCGCCAACGTCAATTCCAATGTTTAGTGAGCGCATGTTGCTGTTTGCTGGCGTGATATTGATCCCAGGGTAGTGATTGGTGAGAAATATGCCTAGGTAGGCGGCCGTGACATACCGACCTGCACAACCGTGTTGAAGAAACCACTGGAGTGCTTCTTGGACGAATTGCCGGCCAACGTAACTTGGTGAGAGGAACTGGATGTAGAGATATGACAAGGTATTATGGATGGAATCCTCGCCCTTGCCTAACATGTCTTTGCGACGGAATGCGGAAGAAGGGGTAAAGTTGTACGACTCCCATAGATGCTTGTAGACCTCGTCTCGAAGCTCTCGTGGCAGTCGATCGAGAGCGGTCCTCGCGTAAGAAGTGATACGTCGCTTGAGGAGACTGTGACCATCAGTACATGTAGAAGAAGTTGATAAGGCTATAAACTTACGGATTGCCCAGATTCGAAAACGGTTCCAACCAAGGATCAGACATGATCGGCTCGTTGACCGAAATTGCCTGGCGACAGTCGTTAACTTGGTAGATTTGTGGTTGAGGGTAGTTGAGGGCAGTTGAGGGGAAGTTGACGAACGAAGGTAGTGCAAGTTGTCTGCGTGTAGGCGAGGGGATCACTATAAACTAAGAGGGAGTTCAATGGAAAGGGAATTAATGAACAGACGCGAATGCGATCCATACTATGGGTCCCTTCACAGTGTTGTCCAGGTGATCTACTTTCACAAGGTGCAGTGCCTGCGCATCTGGGAATGTGTGCAGTGAAAGATTCCTGCCTAGTCCAA